TTATAGGTGTTCCTTAATGTTTTCCTATTACATGGCTCTCAAGCCATGTACCCATCTGACCAAATTTAGGTAGTTTTAAGACTGAATATATTTATAGGTGTTCCTTAATGTTTTCTTATTACATGACTCTCAAGCCATGTACCCATCTAGTAATGTGGTGTGCCACACCACAGCTCCCTTGGGAGAGTGACGGGTCACTCTCATGTAACCCCGTTACAGTTTGTATACTAGCAAAGATCCCCTCAACAAACAACTTTCTTAGATTGTTCTGATCCAAGAGTGACATATGGGGATAGGAGCAAACTATCACTGAAACTACTTTTCCTACCATATCTCGTGATAAAACGTTCTTTGTTAACGCGGAGCTAGCAGCCTACGTGCAGCACAAGCATTATTTTAATGAGTCCAACATCCTTATTTATACCAATATCTCACTGGAAGTTACCCCATTACACTTCTCGACATTGTATTGTCCTATATGATGCGATGTCCGATCTAAATCATGTGCAGTTGCCAAACCTACAGGCCGTTAAAATAGTGGCGTTTCAGAAATCTAAAATAGGACCAGCTGACACAAACTAAAAAAACGATACTTGTGAACACTATGGCTGAATTGCATTATAATGTCGTCACGCAACTTTCCTCACAGCACATGTTTTGGAAAAGCCTCAGCCCCAGAAATAATATTTTCTAGACTTGAGTAAACGTTGAATCTGGTCAAATCTTTGAAGGTATAAATCAGCAGTTGAGAATTTCCAGCCAGTGATAATTACCAGAATCCATAGTGTCCTATTTTTACGATGATGTCCATCATGCACGATGTACTCAAGTCGTACCATTCATTGTAAGACTTGAGCTACATAATTGATTAATATATGCGATCTGCCATTAGGACTTATCGTCTAGCGTCTTGTACCCACGTGGTAGGTAAGTAATCTATTTATACAACAATGTAACAAAATGCCTGAATGACCAACAAGTTGTATGTTGTGTGTCGCAACACCCAGAGCAAGTTGTTTCAACCGCATCGTCTTGAGATGGCGTAGACTTTAATTAGGTACATCATTCCGGCCCCATCTGGAGCGACGATCAGTTTTTAGGATTTTTCGGTGCTTATCCTTGAGGAAACTCAGAACGAGCAGTTCTCATATCGAATACTTGTAAATATTTTAATCATTAAATATTCAGTTCATGTGTTCACTCCGATCAGTTCCCAGACAGAAAGCAACTGCTTTTCTGTCTATCTTCTGTAGCCAGTTTCTGGCAGCTGACAATCCAATTTGTCAACCATCACTGATAACATTTTTGAAGCAGACGACAATCCGTTATAATCATGTGCTGCTATCCAGTGCTAGCCACGTTGCTGGTTACTATCATCCTACACACAAGCGCGATTGCCTCGCCCGAGCCAAATCTGGCGACTGCTAGCGTCCAGTCAGAGCGTCTTCGATCTCATGAATTGGGTGATAGAGTCAAGGAGAGGTCTCTCAAGGCCGAGGAAGGTATTTCAAAAGCAATCGACAGCGAAGAGAGGGTGACGCTTGAACCCCTTGAGGATGAGGCCGAAAAGCTACCAACTATCCTCAACAAGGCAGGAGTCTCAACACGTTCAGATGCACCACCACCTGCTAAAGTCATGGAAGCTGTTGAAGCTTTGAAAGGAACAGCAGGCGCAAAAGCAAAAGAAGGTGAAAAAGCTGGAGAATCGATTAAGGACAAAGAGACCTCACAAGCTTCAAAAAAGCCGACAACTACAGTAAACGTCAACCCCACCGAAGGAACCCCAGCAACGGCAAACGTTTATATCGTTAAGCCTACGGAAGACGCCTCAGCAACGGCAAATGCCAAACCGAGAAGCTTACTTCAACGTTTACTGAAGAAGATAAAGGACATACTCTTCAAAATCCTTAGTTGGTTCCACACGAAGGATTCAAAGCCTGCTCCTCATAACTCAATTAATGTTATCCAGGACACTACAACTACACCAGCTGCCCATGTCAACGATCCAAAGCATGAACCGAAACCGGCTACAAAACCAACCATTCATGTGACAGATCCCATACCAGGACCGAAGATCAATGTGAAACCAACTTGGTATGTACCGCCGACATATGATCCAGCGCGATTCCCCAGCTACATGCCTCCAATTTTTACGAAGCCAGAACACGTGTATCCAACAGCTGAGAGTCCTGGCATGAAATATTCAGACTTGTACTACGGCACATCGGATGCAGAAGCTGATGATGTTGTATTTCTAATTGTTGATAAATTCCCAAGCTCCGACATACATCCACGCGGTATGCTTCATATTATCGGCAGCGACGGCAAACGTTACTTTTTAGACCCCGATCAGGTCGAATCACTTCAACTACCTTTACAAAAATGATGATTATCTGATTCACTACACGGAACCGTTCGGTACCCACCTATACGATTCACACGATTATCCACCGTCATATCACGACATGAATGGATGGTATCCTCACCCGGGATATGCGCATCCAGCATTTAGGTAGGATAATAAGAGTCTCGTTCGACCGATTGTTCGCATTGGAGAAATCGTCCCTGAAGATGCTGAATTGACTCTTTTTGCCATTTCTCTGGTATTCCGACTCGTGTACGTGCACGCGCGTAAGAATTAGCGCTGACTTTTGTCCGTAGCTACCACAGATTTATCTCCTAACCAATTTCCTTGAAGTTTATCTGTGTATTTGTCCATTAAATACATGTGTATAAAATGATAAATTCGTTCTGCAACTATTCGATTCGTTGCGCTATGTTGATATAGTTTCTAGAGAGTAAATGACTAAAGATAATGCTCCGTTTTAGTCCAGTTCTTAAACCTTTTGATAAGATCTTAATTTTCTCAGTCACATGGAGAACGTTGCGATAAAGCTCCCTCATGATTACATAAACATTAAATTTTAACTGTTCACCTGTCGGTTTTAACTAGGTGTTGGCGTTTACCCTATAAGTTTGAATAGTACACTTGAATTACTATTCAATTGATGTCACTAAATGGTACCAGTAATCTAAATCGTAAGTCGAATACCATAGTTAACAAAAAGATTAATTGAGGCATTTTCAAATAGCGATTGAGTTAGC